GTTTTGGCTGCTGGGAGGTCAGAGGGTCCTACCTGAGGACAGGACCCCAGTGCAGCACTTGGGGAATGACAATTCTATAGGGTCCTGGAGGTCCTGGTCTCATTGGAGAGCTGGTGGCAGGATGGAGAACCACTGGGCAAGAAAACCACACTGGGCAGAAGCTCCTGATGTTTTCAAGGGATTTGAGGCAGTTGGTTTGGGAATGATCCCCCCAGGGTTGTGCTGGTGTGATGGATGTGGCTCCTGCAGGCACAGAGAGCCAGGAGTCCCCTTCTCCCTTATTGTACGTGCTCCAAACTGACAGGATAATATCACTCTGTAAACCTCTCAGCAGTTTTTCCAAAGCACAGCTGCTTTGCTTTGGATTTTGATTTGTCTTTCTTTGCTTTGGGGGCGTTTCCTAAAACACATGTGACAGCTGAAGCTTTTCTTGCAGAGCTGGGGACGAGCAGGCTCCGAACTGATTTATAATGCAGACGGCTGTAGAGGTGTCCCCCGGCTGTCTGAGATGGTTTTTGGTTACCACTAGATGTCCTTTCAGCCCTGCTTTCCCCACTGCTCCTTCAGAACCGTCGTCTGGGCTGGGATCTGCTGGCCATGGCCCAGGAGCTGCCAGACACCAAAGTGCTGCTGAGAGCAAGGAATGGGGATGATATTCCTGAACCTCGGGCTGCTGGGGCCTCCCAACCACCCTTTTGGTCTTGCACAGCTTTGTCTCAGGTAGTGCTGGCTCACAGAAATAAGGATGCTCAAAATCCAACGTCTGGATCTTTACTGGGTATTAAAACTTTATTACCTCTACCATGAATCAGGGGCTGTCCATGCAGGGCCACTGGTTAGTGGAGCTGATGGTCCAAGGAGGCCCTTGGAGGGTGGAGAGGATGATGACTGTCTCAGTTTCACAGGATGAGCAAGTGGTGGCCCCATTTTGTGCAGGTACAACTTGTGAGGTGGTTATGGCTCAGACACCTTTGTGGGCACAGTCCATGGAGATGCAGGTATGTGTTGTCAGGAAGCACAGCTAACAGTGTCAGGGGGTTTCACGTTGCCTGGATGCCCAGAATTTTGCAAACAGTATTTCTGTAAGTTGTGTTGAGATCTCCGAGCACCAGTGATCACTGAAAGCAGCTGGAGCTGCTTGCAAAGGCAGCTGCATCTGCTGTCTCTCAGGTAATGGCAATCCCAGTTTGCTGTTCTGGGGTGGGTTATGTCAGGTAAAGGAATTAAAGGGAAATTTGCTTTGCCAGAAATGTGTGTTGCTTACAAGGATAGCTGAGGGCCTGTGGGGTGCAGCTTTTCAAGGCAAAATGAGCACCTTCCAGGAAACTCTCAGCTCTCTGTGGTTTAGGATCAGAGGGAGATCAATGACTAACAGACACAGAGCTTCTGGCAGAGCAAGCACAGGGTCAGTGAGAGCTGCAAACAGCAATCCTCAAAAATACCTGTATTTCCAGTGGTGACCTTGCACACCTCAACCCACTGAAGGGAACAAACTGAACAGCAAATGCCAGCATGAGTGCCAGGCATGGCAGATCCACGGAATGCCCTGGCATTAGCTCAGAGCAGCCAGGGTTTTCAAGATGGAACACCCATCCTTCTGGATCTGAAGCCCAAACTCAGCCCAAGCCAGTTTACCTTTTTCCAAAGGTGCTGAGCAACCAGCAGTAAGTGAGGTCTTCAGATGCTGCACACATCTGGATTTCAATGCTTCCTTTTGGAAAACCGGCTTTGGAGGAAAAACACCCCAAATGTGACTGGAGTTTCATTTGACCTGATGGGAAGTGTGTTTTGGAGACTGCAAGCTCTGTCTGGGCTCGTATAAAACCTGTGAAGTGATGTCAGGTTGCACAGAGGCCCTTTACCCTTGGACAGGCGCTGGTTCTGGATCCCAGTGGGGTGACGAGTCCTGGGGGTGGTGGCTTTTTCATTCACATTCATTCCTATTCTCTGCTAATATGGGCCCAGAAGGGACCCAACCCTGCTGGTTAATTAGCTCAGGGAGCATTTGTGTTGCTGTAACACTGCCTTTGACTTCCCACTCAGGTCTCAGGGGTGGCCAGTGCAGCCCCCCAACCCCCCTGATGACTTTACCACGGAGCCCCACGTTTGCTCCCACAGCCCTGGTAAAACCTGGATAGAGCAGAGCCAGCACTTCCACCACATGGACGTGGCCAGGAAAGGTCCCCCACGTGTGCAGCAATCTGGCATGGCCTCGTGCCTGGATTTAGGGAGCCTGGGGGAGCTGGGGCACGGCAGGGCCTGCCCAAAACCATCTCACAGAGGCCACCGAGCAACCATCACTTCTTAATAAACTTTTCTGGCCGGTGCTGACCTGGACTGTATATGAACAAGTGAAAAGCAAGTGGTGAAAGGCTCTGTGTAAAATTACTAATCCCACAGAGTGCTCTCACTGAAAAGGCCAGGCAGGTCTCCCCACTATTGTGTCCTCTCACTGCAGCTGGTGCACCCTGGTGTTTTTATTAAAATAAAACCCAGCAGCCCTGTGTCTGAACTGGCCTGTGGATGCCCAGTGCCCAGGGGAAGGATGGGCTGTGTGTGAAGGTCTCCTCTGCAGGGCTTGTTGCTTCATTTCCATGTGCTCCTGGCTGCTGGGGAGCAGCTTTGCAGGCTGGATGGGGAAAGCAGTTGGCTGCTGCCCTCCTTGGAGGCTCTGGGAAGGGTTTACACATTGTGATGCCTCATGGAGTGAAGGAGCTGTGGGATCTGCTGCTCCTGCACCCCAGGATGAAGCGAAGCTCCTGCTGACCCTGCACATGCTCAGGCTCTTGGGAGGGTAAATTGGGAACTGGGGAGCCCTCAGGGCTGGCTGGTGCATGCTCAGACCATATTCCAGCAGCTTAATTTTTCAGTCTCAGAGCACAAGTGTATGGTTTGCATATGAGGGAGCCTGGACTGGGGGGGGGTCTCCTGTGGCTGGGGAAACAAAAGCAAACCTTAAAGGTTGCTGCCAAAATCTTTGTGGAGGAGGTACCTACACAGATCTATTATATACACATATTTAAATATTTTAGCAGAGATGTTTCAGTCTGAGGGAAAGTGGCTGATTTGTTAGTGGCAGTTACCCTCTGATGCAGTATTTCCCTTTACAACTGCGTGTCAGGGACGGCAAGGGATGCTCCTCCAGTTCCTGGGAAGTTTACAACCCTGCCTGGACATGCAGTTTAACAGGCTTGGGAAAACCAGCTCAGGGTCAGCTTTTTCTCTTCATAATTTCAATTCCTGTTTTTGAGAATTGTTTTAGTTAAAAGACAGATTTTGGTTAAGGGAAACACAAATATTGAAACAAAGTTGTGGGCATTTTTGGTGGTGTTTTTATTTTGTTTCTGTTTTGTTTTGGTTTGGTTTTGTTTATTTGTTTGTTTTCCATTCTGACAAGTGGAAAAACATTACAATTGGTTTCCTCTGTACTTAGTTTCTGCTGGTGGTTTTGGTGTGGCAGATGAACCCAGAGCTAGGACTCATTTGTACAGGCTATGCCCTGTGAGGTGTGAGTCACTGGGAGCTCAGTTTGGGCAATCAGAGCTGTACACAGCATTCCCAGCAGCATTTAACCACCTCTTATGCAACCATATCAATATTTTTTTTCCAGGAAATCCATTGCCCAGTGGTGGCTAAATAAGCACAAACCTCTTTTGAAGTCTGCTGGTCTGTTGAAATCAAATCTTCTCAAGGAAAACCTACTGGTCTTGTTAACTTGTGACTCGAGAAAGGAGAGGGGCAGCTCGTGGGGCTGGGTTTGCCCAGAGATGGAGTTCAGAAGCAGAGCCTTGTGGTTGATATCCCCAGAGATTCAATTGCTTAAACACTCCAGGCTCTTCCTCAAGATTTTTGCTCGTAGGTACCTGAAGCTTGAGCTTCATCCTTATGCAGGATAGGAAAATACTTTGAGAACTGACAGCTCTTTCTCCTTCAGCTCTGCCAGGTATTATCACAGTAATTAAGGAGATATATATATAGATATATATATATAGATATATAAATAGAGAGAGAACTCCTGCTGGCTTTACCATTGCAATCTACTGCTTTCCTTTTATCTGGGGAATGATGGAAGAGCCTTGTGGGGTGCAAAGTCCCTCCCTGTGGACCAGGGTAGAAACTCTGCAGGAAGAGGAGGTGGTGGCTCCCAGGTTTTTGTTGTCTGACTTTTTGTTGTTGTTGTTGTTCAACCTTCCCTGATCTAACCCAGATCTTATTTAAATCACTTTATTTACTTGGTTTTATATGGATTGAAGTGGTTGATTTATGTTCACTTAACACTAGACTGGTGGCTACAGGCTAATGGTATTGCCCTTATTTATGTCATTCCTTGTGTTTGGCTAAAATCCAAATCCTAAAATGAGAAAAGAAAGTAAATTGTACCAGAATAATGTTTTCTAATTCCAGAGTCATCAAGATGCCATATCTCTAATCAGCTTCTCTGAGTCACTGTTTTTTTCCCCCAAAACCAATTAATCCACAAAACCCCAAGTGATTAGAAGTGGCTGGAGCTCCCTGATGGCTTAGGGGAATTTAAAAGCAATTGTCAGCTCTTTTTAAATATATTTTTTTTATTACTTTTTGTCGTTTGTCTTAGAAAGAAATATGAAATCTGCATGCAACCTTCTAAATATTTCAAACATTTAAATAGCATATGATAATTTAGCAGTACAGTACATTATACAGCAAGATAATATAGGGAGACTTCCTATAGTGTATTTACAAATGAAAAGGTAGTTTTGTTATATTAAAAAGAGGAATGCACTGCTTAACATGGAAGTATTACATTCAAAATAATGAATATGTTGTATTGTGACTAAAACATACATAGGTATTTATATGTTTGCCCTATCATATTTTTCATAAAAAGGTACCTTTTAAAGGCTTTCTTTGTTGTTGGTGCTACAAATCTAGGAAATCATACACAATAGCCTTGAAGCTTAAAATATCTCAGTACTGAAGCCACAGTAAGAGCTTCAGGTGAAAAAAAAAAAAAACCGAACCCCAAACCAAACAAACTTTTATTGTCTTAGTAATAAAAACAACCTAGAAATGCTTTCTAATGCATGAGAGGTTAAAGGGGAGGCAGGGGACGCTTCGCCTTGCAGCGAGACCTCGAGTCCTTTGGGGAAGAGGTACAGGAGTGATCTCACACTCACTCGAGGAGGTGCTGAGGGACCTCATTCTGCAGGCACAGCCACGTTCCAGTGGCATCTGCCCCAGCAAACTCATCTTTGGTCCCTGCTCTGCCTGACTGAGGTGGAGGCTGCAAACAGGCCCCCCAAACCCGGCACCGAAGCTTTCCCGCTGCCGGAGGGCGGAGAGAATGGCTGTGTGACACCGTCACAAACCTTGCTGCTTGCCTGGTGAGCTTATAAAGCTCGATTGCAATCATAGTGCAGTATGAATGAAGAATAATAATAATAAAAAAAAAAATTAAAAATCCCAAACCAACCTCCTTAGAACGAAAAGCGCGTGTTTTTCCCAATTTCGGTACGGAGCAGACGGGTGTGGAGTCAGAGGCGCAACAGGTGCCCGTGGAATCTGGAAGCCTTTTGCACGTGGCTATAAAATGTAAAAACTGACCCTTGGTAAAAAGTGCTTTATAGTAATACAGAATTTGTGTCTTATGTCTGTGAGAGAGAAATAATCTTCTGTAGAGCCTGGTCCTACGCCAGCCAAGGGAACCCGCTCCAGTCCTCACACCCCTCGCTCTTATTCTTCATAAACCCTAAACAGAAGAAGAACCAAGAGCAGGGTATTTATGAATTAAACTTCAAGTCCATTTCAAACGACAACAATAATAATAATAACAACAAAACCAACCCACAAATAATAAAAACCCAGAAACCAGATTTTTAGCCTTTGCCTAGGTAGTCTGGAAATTAGGTTACTGACTTTCAGCAGTCTGTGTCCATAAAGCATCTGGGAGGAGTGCTGGGCTTCGACACTGCCACACCTTGGAGGCATGTGGGGAATAACACACTCTACCATAATTATCAGGATAAATAACCAGAAGGAATCCACATCTGCTAATTCACTGTAACCGCTGGAAACCTCCCATCCTGTATACAATTGTTGATGTTTATCATGAGCTGTCCATATATAATGAATTCACAGTATCTGTTATGATTGGGATAATATCGCTCTGCCCTTTTTCTAGCTTGTGTCCTGACAGAACAACATGATGGGCTTGTCTGTGTGTTTCCTGGGGCTGGGCATCCTTGCTCATATTAATGATGGCATTATAAGAAAAGAGGTTTTTAGCAGAAAGTGACTGCTTTCCTGGCCATGATACACTTGTTAAAATTGGCAAATACCTGAGTCATCAGAGACTGATGATGTTGAGGTGGTGTGATTAAACTATGTGACAGGGCTCTCTCTTCCCAGCTCCCCTGACTGCTTTTCTCATGACTGAAAGTAGCTTAGCTTTTCATCTTGGATTTTTCCCCATGGAGGGGAGGTGAGTGTATGTGAGTAACCGAGAACATCAGCTGACGAATATTTTAACCAAAAATAATTACTATATCTAACCAGAGCAGCCTAATCCTAAAACAGAAGTGAGACCTTCATGTGGCAGGAAAGAAATAACATCAAGAACACCCATTTAAAATTGTAATTTCGGTAATGAAATAGATCCTAAATGCTGGAGGGAGCACTTGCAGTGTGTGCACTTCCCTGGATTCCCCATGTCTGGGAGCTGCTGGTTGCCTGGCTTGCCACCAAGATCCTCCCCCCACGCAGCAAGCACTTACCTGCCCTTCTCTTTCCACACTCGGTACCACTTGAGCAGCCTCACTGTGTTCTGGCGTTTGGGGTTCAGGCAGTGCTGCTGCTCCCCCCTCACCTTGGTCCACAGTGTCACACTGCAGGGCAAGGGACACAGTCATGGCAGGCACAGGCAGCTCCCACCCCTCCTCCCGCTCCACCAACACCCAGAACTGGTCAGGGGGCCAGTGTAAGGCTTGTCATTCCCTGTGTTTCCTGGCTGATATTTGAGTTCCTGGGAATAACAGAGCAGCAGGTTTGGCTGTTCCCAGTTGGTGCAGTGCACCACTGCCCACCCTTACACTGTTGGACCAGAGCAAGGCCTACCCTCCGGTTTTAATCAGTGGGTTTGCTCTGCCTACCTGTTAGAGATCATCTTTTGAGCCCAGTAGATTGTTTAATTAGGGCTCATTCAGCCAACCACAAGGTCTTTGCACGAGGAGACCGTTCCTTTACATTCAACAAGAGAAAATATCAAAACAGCTTCACTGATTATTTTAATTTTTGCTGTCCTTTCTCCCCCTTAATTCTGCAATATTTTAAATATTTGCACGTGACAGAGAGTGCCCTTGTGCCCAACAGCCCAGCTCTGAGCCTCAGCATGCAGCCCTGGGGGCTTCAGCCTCCTCTGCTCACAGCCTGATCCTGCTCTCTTGGTGCCCTGATTGTCAGGACAAAGAGTGTTGGGAGGCAAAACATGGCAAAAGTCTTCTCTTTGCTTTAGGTCCCCTCCTCGAGGGCTTAGTGAGGCCATCCATCATCACTTTGGTCTGACACACCCAAGGTGACACAAGAGACCCAAAGATGCTTCCCAAAAGGATGGCTTTCCAGAAACATCAAGGCTGCCCCCACTTCTCAGGGCTCAAAATCAAGCAGTTTTCTGGTTTGGCTATTAATTTTGGAAGTTAGAAAGAAACCACCAAAGTCACAACCACAAATTGTATTAGAATTATTGATTTTCTGGAAATACCACCCACAACAGGGAAAAGCAGTTATTGATTTAACTGAAACATTATCATGGAATTATTTAAATGCTGTTAGAGACATGGGTAAAATGAAGGCAGAAAACCAGAAATACCTGTGTACCTGCTGATTGGTTCAGAAAGAAGCTTTTTGTCTTCCAACACAAGAAAAAGTGCCTTGCACACTTTCCCAACTCACACCCCCTGGTTCAGAGGGAGCAAAACGTGCTGCCTGCATGAACTGAGGATCTCACCACGTTTCCAGTTTTGAGATTGCACAAAGTGTTCAAATAGCTTTTTCTATTCAGTTAACCTTCCCCCCTGCTCCCCTTTCTGCTCCACCTCCATCTGTGCCAAGGTCACAGAAAGTTAAGGTGTAATTTCCAGGTTGTTGTTCTGGGGGCAAGTGCCCCTTTCCCAAGTGCATGGGGAAGTGGTGGAAGCCTCCAAGAGCCTCCTTGGTGGCTGAAGGCAACAGAAAGGGCAGAGTCACAGCTAAAAACATGGACTAACTCTGTCCTAAGGGTGTTCTCAGCCCACCCCTCTGGAGAACACTGGGTGCATGAGAAGGGGAGTTTTCCTGCAGCTTTGGACAGGGGTGAAACCAAACTTTCACTGAAGGCACAGGGAGTTTTGAGGGACTTGAGACTGGTGTAAAGTTCCTCCATGCAGCAGCCACCTTCTCTGCACTGGCTGATCCCCACCTTGGCTTGGGTTTCTCCTGTGACAGACCATACAGGGTGTTTCCAGAAAGTACTGACATGTTGAATCACAGGAGGAGAGGAGCAGGAACACCTCTGAAAAGCAGCAAATCCTGTACTTGCACCAGAAGCTGGGAAGGGCACTCTGGATTTACTGGATCCTGTTGTTTGAGGAGGAGGAGATGCAGGGTTGGTTTCTCAGGTGAGCTGGCTCTTTTCTCATCCTGACATGCCTTGTTTTGACATCACGTGGAGGTTTGGTGCTGGAGGATGGACAGCACAGGACACACTCCCAAGACAGCCCCACAGTCCTCTGCAGTTCTCAGGAAGTCCCTGATTGGCACAGGGTTGGGTGGCAGCGTTTTTGGGCACCCTGAGCTGAGCTGGCCCTGCTTTTGGGGATGCTGGTCTGACAAATGTCAGGGGATGTGCCCAAGAGGCACTGTGGGAGCTTATACCCTGAGGAGGAGTTGTCTGGGTGGGCTGCAAGAAGAGGTTGAGAGGGATGGAGAAGAGACTGAAGCATCAGAACTTTCACCTCCAGTGGGATTTGTCCGTTAGCTGCCCAGGGCTTGCTATCTGGAGCCTTTACCCCCGGTGTCTGAGGGTCCCTGTGCCAAAATCCCCCTTCCCCCCAGTAGGTCCCTGTCACCAGGGCTGTGATGAACACTCTGGGTCAGTTTGTGCCTTCAGCACCCTGTGCCTCCACACATCTCATCTGAGGGATGGTGGGGCAGCACCTCTGCCTACAAACACCCTGTCTCCAGGCCCCAGGGATCCTGGCTCTGATCCTTTCATCCCAAGCCAGTGTGGGGACTGTCACCTGCCTTGGCTGCCCCTTGAGAAAGGCTCCCAGCAACACCTATTTCCCATCAGCTGTTCCCACCCTGACACATCCCAGCTCTCTGGAAAAACACGGGGGGGGGGGGGAGTTGAACATTTGAGGCAGAAAGAGTTAAACTTCCCTTCTGTTTTCTGCTGCTTTCTCTCATTCCAAGAGACAGATACACTCACAATTACTGCTGGATGTACCATGAATCTTGATAGGTTTTGACTAAACTGAGGACTCAGTTTAACCGTCTCTTATCCTGTACCAGAGCTCTGCTTTGAGGGTGGTCATGGCCAAAACCTCCCCAAACTGCACCACCCCCAAACCCACTGCTCCTCTGCCCGACATCACTGGTGTCACTTCTCTGCTATAGGAAAACATTTGAGAGCTTTTGAGGAGGGCAGAAGGGGGCACAGCTTCGACAACTTGTTTCAGATGATCACTGCAGCAACAAAAACTCCCTTGCAGGAATTCAGCTCCGCTGAGCCTTGTCCAGAGGCTCCGGGATCAATTTGTTCTCAGAATATTAATTTTGGTTTGCTCTCAGTGCTGAGCTCAGGCTGCATTAGGGCAGCTGGAAAGGCAGTGCTGGCAGTGGGTCTGCCCTGCCCCACAGACACCCCGGGGGGATAGGGGATGATGGGACAGTTCTGTCAGCCCTCAGGCTTGAATAGCACTGCTCGACATCTGCACAGCCATCAGGGCTCCTGCACACGGCGTTCCAGCTTCCCCAGCTTTCTGATTGGAAGTGAAACGTTGCATCAGTGAGATCTATTTTATACTCCCTGGTCACCATCTGCTTCTGGGGAAATGCCTTGAGTGGGCTGTGAAGAGCTGGTGTTCCTCCACACCAACGTTTTGCTGTCAGAGGGTCAAAGCAAACAAGGTAAAGCTGCGAGGAGCTGATTCAGGCAGGGATGCTCTGCAAGCATTTTTCTGTTCAGGTCACCATCAGCTGATTTGGGCTTCACAGAAGTGGGTCTGATGTTCCCTGAGCTCAGCATTGCTCACAGTGATGCTGGTCTAGCTCTGGAGGAAGCACAGTGAACCTTGGATCCCCATTCCTCCTCCACGAGCTCTCGCTGAGTCTGACGAGCCCGTCCTGTGTGAGAAGTTCGTGGTGTCTCCTCGTTTGTGCCAGTTGGATGAGCAAGATTTGTCCCCACGGGCATTACAGAGTGCCAGAGGAGGTGCAGAGCCTGGCAGGACAGGGCTCAGGTCCTGCTGTTAAATGAATGGCAAATGTTCCGTGAGGGAGCACAGGTGCTGGATCAAACCAGCCCTTGGTGTCCTGGCAGTGTGGATGCTCTTGGGACCCTTTCCCCCTCTCTTAGGTGGCAGAGGAGCTTGGTGAAGTCTTCTTGGTTAATCTGCCCTTATCCAGCCACGTGTGCTGGTTGGACGGTGTTTTATGGGGGGAATCTTAAGATATCCAGAACAGGACAAGAAAAACCCCAAACCCTCCCATATTTAAAATCTAAAAACCTCTCCTTTCGAGCCAGTCATGCCAAAAATCCCTGTACCTGCCTCACCTTGGTTAGCCATTATGTCACTCTGACATTTCACAGCAGCATTGGTCCCAGTTTGCAGGGAGACTGAGAGGAAAACCTTTTCTTAAGTGCTGGGTAATCTCATTGAATGAAAGGGATTTCTCTGCTAGAACACAGGCAAAACTCTGTCTCTGGTCGGGCTAATCTTCCTTGCAGAAACCAAACTCTGCTCATATTTATTCTGCATGCCCAGAATAACTTGAGTAAACAGTTCTGAATTTTATAGCAGGTAGCTTGGAGTAGGATTTGTCATTATTTTCACTTGAACTAATGATTATCTTTTATTGCTACCTGGTTCTGGAAATATTTATTTTGAGGGAAAAAAAAATTCAGTCAAAAAATAATAATAGCTGGGGTTCTGGTCAGAATTGCACAATATCTTTTTTGCCTCCGAGTATTCCTAGGAATATTCAAATTGCAGATGAATATTCCCAGGAATTAGCATGCCAGGGCATGGAGAAAGACAAAGAACAAAGAAGGAACTTGCAGTAAAAGGTAAAACAGTTCAGCTGACGGGGAAACAGAAAGCAATCAATGAGGGCAGACTTACATAATCATCTCCTCCACGCAAAACGGGTACCTCGGTTTCACTTCCAGCTTCCGTACGTTAGAGAATCTTATTTTGGGACCTTTCCTGGAGCATTTGCACTTCACGCCTACAAGAGAAAGCACTTTCTCACGCGCCTGCAGAGCCTCCTGCATACCAAGCGTCCCTGCCCTCCAGCCTGGGTGCATCCAGGAAAACTTCAGTTGGCTCTTTCAAGCCTCGGTGGGAAAAGCTGAATTTTGTAAAGCTGCCGAGCTTAAAAAAAAATTAAATTTTTGTTTTCTTTGGTATATTCCATGAAAAGGTAGTGACTCTCTGGGAAATATGTTTTAGAGCACTATATATGTTCTGAGGCTTTGTAAAAATCAGATTTTTTTTTTTTTACAGTGCACCTGCTGCGATTAAATACAATTGTCTTGAACAAAAGGAAATGAAAGAGTCAGAACTCTTTAAATTGAGCAAGCCAGCGCACGTCTCGGCTGCTTTCTCATTCACTCACGTCCCACTTGGACTTTGTAGGACTTCCAGTCATTTCTCCTCACATGGATGTCGTGGTGCAGTCACAGCCAGACAAAAGCTGAGCGTTTTTTAACCCTCATTTTTGTGCACAGCAGAAAGTGCAGGCTGTGCCACCACCTCAAATCCAGCTCCGCTCCCTTTTCCCTCAAAACCACCCTTCGAGTGCTCGTTAAAGCAGCCCTAAACTGATCCTATTTCCTGGAGCATTCCACATGCTAAACCCACCTAGCAGGAGGTATTTGAGCTGTATTCCTGGATAACGGGGAGCGAGGCATGAGCTGCCACACTGAGGGCTCTTTGCCGAGCAGTGAACACTCGAATGAAGACGCGACTCTGCCCCTGTGTTTTACCTCTGCTTCACCTTTAAAGAACTCGCGGCTCCCTCACTCATAGATTCCGTACCTCGCACCTTCCCAACGTGCCGGGGACAGCTCAGCCCAACCCGGGGCCACCAAGAGGCAAACGCAAATTGCTGGAAAAGAGGTTTACACGGGAGCAGGCAGAAAAAAACCCCACTTTACCTTCTGCGCTGGCCAAACACATGGCGATGAAGAGCAGAAGCAGAGCTGCTGTCAGGAGCTTCATGGTGAGACAGCAGGTACCCCAGGAGACGCCGGGAGGGTTGATGTGAATTCTCGCTTGGGGTTCGTGCCCCCGATCCCGCTGTCCCGGGGCTGTGTCACCGGCGAGGGGACAGCGGAGCCGCTGCCCGGCGCTGCCTGCGCTCTGCCGCTGCCTTCCCTTCTCCTCCTTTAAAGCGGCTCCCGCTGCCCTCGCTGCCGCCTCATTAATATGCAGAGCAACTCCACGGCTCCCTCCGCTTCCTCAGCCCCGGCGGGGAGGGAGGGGACCGGCACCCCGGGGGGGAACATCCCCCATCCCCGCCCCGAGCATCCCGGGGGGAGCGCAGGCGATGGGGCGGCTGCTCCTGCCCCTGCCCAGCTGGGACAGCTCCGTCAGAAGGAGGTTTGCAAGGGGAGGGGGGATTATGTGATTATTTCTATGAACGGTGTTGTTGGGTGGAAAAACACCCGCTTGCGAGCGCTCCAGGGATGCCCGCGCTCCGCAAAAATTCCCATGCACCTTTGGAAATGAGATTTGGAGAAGTCTCGCTTGGGAAGGGGGTGTCGCCTTTGGTCACACACTGACTTTTTAATTTATAATTTTAATTCATAGTATTTTTTTTTTTTAGCTTTAACAGGCTTCTAAATATAATTGAAAGTTTAGTGAGTTAAATGGAAAAAAAAAATATTCCTAAAAGCGTTGTTAGGTGGGTTTGGCATGTGGAATGCTTCAGGAAATAAGATCAGTTTAGGGTTGCTTTAATGAACACTCCAACACTGTTCTGCTCCATGAAGAACAGGGCGGCAACACGCAGGAACTTCAGGGAAGAAAATACCTGTTCCCTGTCCCTTGCGGAGTGATTTCAGAAACACCTGAAAGAGCATCCTTAAATCCAGACTCCAGGTTTTTGTCTCACTGAGACGGGTGAAGATGGGAGTCATCGGGGTCTAATCTCCTTCCCAGCGCCGTATCCCAGAGAGGCTGCAGACAAACCCGGTTGGTCTCAGCGCATCTCCCGGCCCGCGTTCCCCCTCGCACAGCGCGTTAAACCCGAGCGCGGGCAGCACCCCTGAAGGACACTCCGTGCACCCCCGGCTCCACTTGCATCTTCAGTTTCCCACATGGCGCTGTTCCTGCCGGTCCCGTTGGCAGCGGCCATCCCGCTGCGTTCCCGGCCCGGGTGTTGGCAGGCTGCGAGTACAGCCCTACCACACACAGCCTGCAAGTTGCGAGCAGGCAGCTGCCTTTTCCTGGCCCTGGGACTCATGCGGGACGTGCCGGCACGCCGGGAACAGCCCGGGATGAGCAGGGATGGGCGGCACACTGAGGGGGACCGGCTGACGTGGCAGGGAGCTTTTGGGGTGAAAGAGCCTGTTTCTGGGCAGGCTTGTGAAGCTGCTGCCGGTGCAAAGGGGCGGAGGGGGAAGGTGTGATAGTTTTTGCTTTGCTTTGGTATTGTTGGTGATTTACGGGTGTTTTTGCTGTACAGCTCTAAACCAGCTCCTGAGGTTCTCCTTGCACTGCTAGGAATGGTTTGGGGGCTTGTGGTGGTGTTTCACGACAGGGCTGTTTTATTAAATTCCAACAGGACTGAAGAGAGTTTTGTTCCAGAGCCTGGGATAAAAACAGGTACCTGAGGTGTGGCAGGTCTCAGATCAAACCCTTCAAATAAATCAGTTTCTTATACAAGAAAATTAAAAATAAACCTGCAGGAGAGTACAAGGGTTCATTTCAGAGCTGTTATCAGGTGGTGGTGGGGATGTTTGCTGGGCACAGGGGAGAACTGGCTTAAACTCATCCACATCCCGAGCTGTAATCCTGCCCTGCTGCATCTTGGGATAATTCCCTCCTTGCAGCCTCCTCTCCACCATGTGCAGGAAAAGCCTTTTCCCCTCCCCCTTTGCTAATAAGAATTTGGGCACAGCTTTAGCTGACGGCAATTTGAACTTTCCCCAAACCAGGAAAATCATGTACAGGCTGGAGAAAAATGGCAGGAAATTCTTGTGCTTTCCAAAAGTGAATCCTGTCTTCTTGTATGACTCTTGCTCGTGTCGAGAGACTCAAGTTTTTTAGGTATGGAATAAGCAAGGAGTTGCTTTAGTTCCGATTTTCAGGTAGAAATGGATGCGTTTGAGGGGTGTGCACACACACAGTGACTCTCACCGGGCACCCGAGCAGTTCTGTCTTTATGCCAAGCACTGGCTTTGACAGTAATTATTTCTGAGAGCTCAAAGGTGTCTCTTGCCTCGTGTGGCAGATTTTGGTGGCCACATACAGCTGTCTCTGGCACCTGCTCCATCTTAAAATGACAATCACAGAAGAGAAAGAAGTTTCAGCGAAAGATTTGACGGAAAAGAAACGTTTATGGAATTCACCACAGTCTGCCCCAAGAGAAACCCTGACAATTCAGATGTGTTTTCTTTGTGCAAGGGTGTTCTGAATCAGCATCCACTGGTGCTTGTGTGCCTGTGGTATCTCCAGCAGCTCTGCTGAGCCTCAGCAAATACTGGGCTGGGCCAGGTAAGCACAGGGCCCAAGCATCCATTTCATCCCTCACCAAGCCCCCTGACCGCAGAGGAATTGATCAAGGCTTGGGTTTTGACCCTCACAAAAGGAGTGTTTCAGAGCAGATGCAGTCTCCAAGGTCCTGCTGTCGTCCTGTGCCTTGCAGATGGGCCGTGGCCAGGGAGCTGTGCTGTCCCCGAGGGAGCACTCACCCTACCTGTGCACACAGCGTGCCACCTGCTCTGCTGGCATAATTAGAGGGCCATTGTTGCTGCTGAAAGGGCTCTCATTTCATCTCATTCTCTGCTCTTTGCAGGGCCCTGCCCCAGCATAAGGCTCCAGAGCAGATGGAGGCTGAAGCCTGGCTTTGCCTCTGAGGGTAAGACCCAGTGGGACCGGTGGTGATCTCTCACACTTGGAGGATAGTTTGCAGCATGGACGAGTGGTTGTCCCCTCCTAAAATAAGAAAGAAGAGTTTTAGCAACGGGGCTACCATTTGTACCGAAATGGGTGCCATTTTTGGCCACTTAGAAGCAGAAATGTTTCAAGTTGAGCACAACGTGAGGCTGAGCTGGAGCAAAATATTTTACTTTAAGGCGTGAGGACAACCCCCAAATGCAGGCTGCCCTTTGAAGGGGGAGCTGCTGGAATGGGGCAGGTCATCCCCAAAATAAATAGTGTTGGTAGAAAAATGGGAGGGCTCCAGTTGGGTCTACCAGGGCAAGGGGATCTGTGTCTCTGGATGTGGCCCAAGCCCTGACCTGCCCACAGGTGAGGCTTTTTCTCCTGCTGTGAATGTACACAACCTCCTAAACCAGCACACAGACAGAGTCCTTTAGGTATTCATCTGCATACCAGGGCCCAGGAGTCAGACTATTACAGCTATCACCACTACTAGAAATATTTCAGTATTTAGCTGCTTTTGGCTACGCTGGTTATTTCAAGTACAGGGTGATCCATGATTTGGATTAATTGTCCTTCAAAATGTCGTAGTGTTTCATAGAAAGAAGATGAAGGTGCTCGTCATTGTGAGTAATCTTCACAAAATGGCCATGAAACTGGAGCTACTTATTGCTGTTGAGGCAAAATGATGTGAATGGCTCATCTGAGTTTAATGTTCTAGAATATCCCCATCAGTCCATCAGGGAGGAGATTAAACATTTCAAGTGACACGACAAAATCCCTGCATACCATGTCAGGAATTTGGGGGAGGAATTAGACTGAAATGCTCACTGGAAACCTCTCTGTTAAGGTGGAGGTGCACGGATGTGATGCCTGTTATATATGGAGCTTTTCTTCCTGGGTGCTGCACTTCTTTTTTTTTTTTTTAAATGCCTTTTTGGTGTTGCAACCACTCTGTGTGTAACCCTTGCAGCAGAGGCTCTACAGAACTCTACCCCAAGCTTGAAGTGAGGGCAGAATTGCCTCAGGTTTTGTCACAAGCCTCGCCCTGCTGTGCCGAGCTTAATCAGTGGAGGATGTGCTACAGCCTGTGGTCAAGCCCAAGTTTTCACCTCCAGCTCTAAATGACCTTTTTCTTTCCTCAGTAGCCCTGAACAGTAGTTGTGTCGTCCTTGCATGTCTTTGTCTATCGTTAAGTTGAAAGCCAAAGCTTCGGATTTCATCTTTGGTCTCTGGAAAAATGAAACATATTTCGGGGAAAACAGCTGTGGTCCCCTTCTGTGGAGTTTCACAACAGATGAATTCTGTAAATAAGGCTGCTATTGTTGTTGCAGTCGCTGTTTGCTTTTGATATTTTCTTTTTTTATTTTTATTTCCATAATGAGATTAAATCCTAGACACTGCTTCTTCCCTTGGGAGTGGTTTTAAGGCAGCTCTCTTCCTAGACCTAAATTATTCACCAAGGAGGGTTTTTTGCTGAGATGAGAACGAGGAGGTCGGATCTGGGACTGTTGTCATGGCTTGGAGCTCTTTGAAGCCCTTCGTCATGAATCATTAAAAAGGGTTGCAATAACATGGCAAAAGGGAGAACTGGCTCTTTGTGTAGGTGATCTGAGAGCCACCTTTAGATATTCACAAGAGGATTAATCCCAACTGTGGCTTTTTACACTGAGAAAATAATAAATTGTGTTTAATTTCCTCCTGACTCATTTCCTTGCATGCTACAACTTACCGTTGGCTTTTATGTGCAAACTCAGCTTACACTTTGTACAATTCTCTTCATAGGCACCTAAGCTGTGAATGGCTGTAGGTATTTATTTGGTGCCTGATCTCACAACGAGTTGGATGGCTTTATTTTTTTACCATCTACCCCAATGCTTGCTGCAGTGTAGAGGGAATAAAGTGAAGGGAAGAAAGGCAATTTTTTTGATCTGATAGTGGTGGCCAAAGCCTTGAGAAGCCTCCATGGTGTTGGGTGGGATGAGAGCTGCTTGGGACAAGGATGGGGATGACATTAGCCCTGTCCTCATCAGTGTGTTCCCCCTTTCCCAATTGTTTTTAATTCTTGGTGTGAGATTGAGAGAACTGGGCCAAGGGTGCTGCTTTACTGCCCAGGTGGGCAGTTGGAACAGCTGGATGACACCAGGACAATCAGCTGGAAAACCTCTCTTATTGTCCCAGCACTGGAAACACTTTGTGCTGTCCTGGCTTGCTCATCACATCTCTGCTTGGGTGGGGGTAGTTTTAGGTAATCTGTGGGTGCCAGCTTTTCTGATGAAAGGCTTTTGGAGTAGAATGGGGTGTCACTGTATGTAATAATCTACAGGCAGCCTCTCTCTGTGCTATTAATGCCACTGCTCTGAAAAG